TCCCCGGGTCGCTTCGAGTGGACGCAGCTGCGACTCTGCAAAATCGCGCGAGCCCCGGCTAAGCTTCTCTCGACTCCCCCTAGATCCGCAATTCTACAAAGCCACGAGAGTCGCTAAACGCGCGTCTCTCATCTCGAGTCGGATTATTACGCTCAAAGTGAAGGCGCCTCATTTCCACGGGACGTCTCCTCCTCTCGTCTCTCTTCTCTTTTTTTCTTCCCTGCCGTCATTTATTACGCCGGGCATAAGCGAGACGTAGGAATGTTATACGTAACCGACGCGACATCGCGCGCATGTCACGGGCGCCGGTTTACCAGGCGTCCGTGAAATTTATTATCGCGTAACTACCCTCATCCGGCCTCATAAACTTTACGTTCGACCTGTCGAGAGTTATGGTACGCTTCTCGGCGCATATTAAAACGAAAGGAGACAACGGTCGAGAAGTGGAAAGAGAGGCTCCGAACGCGGCGCGAACAGGCATGAGACTCGCCCGCGCTCATCTCCGACCTAAACGGGTCGCTCCTCCTCCTCCTCCTCCTCTGCGAATGAACTGCGTTCACGATATCGTGCGAAGTGCAAGAGGAAGTTTCTTCGACACGCGCGCGAACGTCTGTGTATTTTATATAGTCCGACGACGCGGGAAATGATCGCGGACGAGTTGCAGTACTCGTATCTGCCGCAACTATCCCACGTTATTTTATTATTACACGGCGCTCGCGGCTAAATCCTACGGCGGTATCGCGCGACCGCGAGCGCGATAACGCTTAGACAACGATTATAAATTTCGTACAAGTCGTAAAGACTAGACACCCGTCGACCGTAATTGCTCATCTACGCGCCGCACGGGCGCGTGTGTGCGCGCGCGGTGCGAGAAATAATAACGACGCTTTTATCGCGCCACGCGACCATTATCGCACGGACGTAAAGCGGATTTTACACTGACGGATCTCTCAAGTCGCGGACAGACCTCGTCTCGAGCTTCCGCGCTTTCACGATAAAACGATTCGAGCGTTCAAGACGGTCCGGCCGACGTCCGCGCGACTCATAATCTCCAAAGTTTTCCGCGCGCGCGTCATCCGTTCCGAGACGCCTTTAATCTACGGCCAGCGGAGCTCTCTCTCTCTCTCTCTCTCTCTCTCTCTCGCGCGGTGACTGATGCTGCAACCGAGTAATAACGGCCGCGAGCGGCGAAATTCGAGCTATTATTACTTATCGTGGAAGGAATAAAGCGGAGAGAAGAGAGACTCGCTGGAATAACGTGTGTGGATGAGAGAAACGATCTACTTTTTAATAGAGACCAGAAAAAAGTAATTAGAGAATTTACTTCTCCTTTTAATTTAATTTAATTTCAATTTAGCTTTTTTCCCTACTTAATCCGACCTCTCCAGATATTTCCAGACCTCTAAATGGTGTAACATATATTTCTTCGGTCTCGAGATTAATTTTCCAAAGTAGTTCGAAAAGTCGTTCAATGATAACGGCACGCTAGATCGACCGTTTCTCGATAGTAGCGGCAGAGCCGTGACGTAAATCCACGAGCGCCGACACAGATAAGCTCGATAGAGTAAAAAGCATCTTTACGATGCGCGAGGCGTCGTATATTGCTGCACGTTCATTTTAATTGTACGACACGTATAAATAACGCAGGGGGAAAGAGAGCGCGACGTGAACAGAGGATTGCGCGCACCGGTCAGATATTTTTTCAATTTTGCGGAGGCGTGCCGTTACTTCGGCGGCGATAAATTCCTCGATTCCGTACGGTTTATCGTTCGTTCTCATCTGTCCGGTTGCGTCCGTTGCACCTGCACATCTGGCAAAAATATAGCGGCAATGGCAAACAGGAAATACATAAGGAGGGAGCGAGCGAGCGAGCGAGCGAGAGCGCGGGCGCGCGACGGAATTCGCGAAACGAGAAAAACTGCAGAATACGGGAAATGATGTCATGTCACGTATTCGATTACGCTGACCGTTCTGCGCGCTACCGCTCGAAATTACACCACTTCGAAAGACCGTATCCGCAGTCCCGGCGTATCGTCTTCGTCGTCACCGACGTCCGCGACGGAGCGACTGATTACGCGACTCGCGGGACAGCGCGAGTGGAAAAATCGAGGGAAAGGAAGAGAAATTTGTCACGATGATCAAGCGAAAAAGACAAGAAGGAAGGAAGAGAAGGAGGGATGCGAGGGAAATCTGCTCTATTAATATCGTAAAATATTATGTATATAAACTCTTTCTCTCTCTCTCTCTCTCTCTCTCTCTCTCTCTCTCTCTCTCTCTCTCTCTCTCTCTTGCTTGAAGCGCCCAACACACACACACACACATACACATACACGCACACACCGTAAGATTTTAATTTTTTTTGCTTGCAGATCCGCCGATAGTATCGTTAAACCTCGGATCGACCTTAAGCCCGGAGGACATCAAGGAAGGGGATGACGTGTACTTTGAGTGTCATATTAGGGCCAATCCACCCTGGTCTAAGCTCATCTGGATACACGACGTAAGAATTTTATAAATGAGCGCACTCGTGCACATCAAGCCGCAAATGCGGCGGCACCGCGCTCCTCCTTAGCCTCCTTTTCCTTTTACGACGTCACGCTGACTCGAAAAAGTGCGCGAGAGTGAAGTACGACTACATGAAAACTCACGCAACGGGCAATCCGTGTGTGCAAAGAGACTCTTTCATCGCTAACTTCGTCGAGACGCGTGACACTTTTGCCTCGCGTAATATCTCGTACATCAAGCATCCAGCAAAACTTTAAATCCTTTATTTGCACAATAAATGAGCTGTGCTACACGCCGCAATCAATCTCGCGACGATATCGACGCGCGAGGCAAAGCGCCGACATAACATCGCTGTTCTCAGTGACGAAAAGCCGCGATTAAGGATCTTCGTCTATTTATGTGTTACGAATTGTTCGTCTATGTGGAGGCTATTCGGCAAATCGACAATCTTACGAGAATCTCTTGACGACAGCAAACGACTTATTTTCATTCTAATTAATTTCTCCTTTCTTTTAACGTGGCATCCATGTTGATTAATTCTTCCTTTTTTTAACGTGGTTTTTTCTCGAGGCAACGATAATTATTACAATCGAGGTATCGATGTGTTAAAAGATATTAATATCAATAAAGACCCGTGCAGTTTTGCGGGGCAATCTTAATTTTTTATGTTCCAACTTGTCGGATCAGCTGACTGCCAAAACCATACGTCAACCAAAGAGCATGAGATGTTAAAAAAAAGGCAGTTGTGGCGATAAAAAAACATCACGTTTCAGCATATCCAAGACACGTTATATTATTCGCGTTACATCAAAAATCGAATTGAACGTTCTACGCGATTTCGCATAATTTTGCATTTGTTATACGGTTATACGTTACACGTCAGTCGCGCTACTACACGATTTCGAGCGCGAAAGTGTGCAACAAGCATAAAACGCGTATCGAAGCAAGTAAGTAACGTTAGTTAGTGCCGGCTCATACTAGATAGTTGCCTCGGGAGACTGCTGTGCCTGCTTGCCCGCTTATTCTAGACGGTACTCCTTGAATTTCGGAACGCCACCGCCGCCGTCGCGCATTGTGTATACACTCACTTAACGCGCGCTGCAATTGCAGCGGAGTCGGAAGTTAAAGGAACGCTCCCAAGGCGTATTCGAGACTATCAGTGACAAACTTTGTTGGCCTGTGTATCGGTGGCAGCCACGGACGCGCACTTCCTGAATTCTAATCGTACCGATCACCGGTTACCCCGGCTTCAGAATCGCGCGTACACGTGAACGTCGCGACGGGACAATAACGACGGGAGGAAGACGAGGAAGACGACGCGCGATTACGAATAGCCGTGCACTAATTTCCCCCCGACATCGGGGCCATCCGATAACTTCCGTTAAGTCCGTTAACGACGCGAGAACAATTCGCGACAGAAACTAATAATCGCGATTAAAATCTCGAACGTATGAAATTCCCACATTTCTGCTAACAAGAAATCACTAATTATTAAATCGGAGTAATTACACTGGCGTCGAATTTGCATAATTCGATTCGTTCCGTTTGTTACAGAGCCCGCTCAATCGTCCGCGAAATTTGTCAGTAGAAATAACGCTTCGTATGATCGTTAATTCGCTTATTCCTAATTGTCTCCTTCGACGATATTCATTTTTCAGCGTACCGCGGTCGATCGTAATTTTGTTTATGCCGATCGCCGGCAAGGGACCGCGACTTTTCATTTCCGAGTTATCGCGCGACGAAGCGTCTAGTTACATCCTAATAATATCTTAATCCGACGATTATAATCTGTCAGAAAATTCCGGTACATATGCCGTAATTATATTATCAACGGTTATTATCAACGGCCGACCGCGGGGGCGCCGCGCGCAGTGCATTAGCTTCTCCCCCGCGGTCTCTTCCGGGATCAGCCCCGGCCTCATATCCCCTCTGTGTTCCGTCGCTCACTTTAACCTCGACTCATACCTCGCTTCTCGTCTCTCTACATCTTTCCGTTTCGTCGTACGGCGACGACCTTTCGCCGGATATACGTCGCGAAGGGCTGCAGGAAACGGGCTAACGGTGGGCGAGAGCAGCAGCTGCTACCCGCGTAAGAGATTTCCCTCGAAATTGCATCTTAAAAATATGATCCGACTTCATTCCACGGGGAAGAGAGGGAAGCAGCCCGACTATCACGGTGCCACTCTCTCTCTCTCTCTCTCTCTCTCTTTCTCTCTCTCACCGCTCAACCGCCACCCCCCTTATATACCCTTCATCCGCGACTTCCACCCTTCGCTTGCGGATTGCTCTCTAGTCGCGTCGCGCCGCTCACGAGCAGAGTGATTCGCTTCCGGTCCACTAAACTCTTCTCAGTCTTTGTACGTGCCTTTAAATCTCAGATAAATTACTAGACCCGATTCGATTCGATTCGAACCGATTCGAGCTATCATCGTAAAACGAGAACTCGAAGCTACGCGCGCGCGCGGTCACCTAATCGCCGGACTTCGGTCAATCCGACTGTGACTTTTTCGATAATTATCAAACTGTCGTAACGCAAGTCAGGATACGGTACTTTTCACGAGAACGTCTGAATGGATATTAGCTGATTCGTAAGAACGATAATAATAAGACGATAATAATAGAGAGTATGCCCTTATTTTTTAAATTAATTATCTCATAAGCCACGAGATAGCGGGCTTTTGTTATTTGAATAAAAAATCGAGAAACACTCCTCGGTGTGAAATATATATATACGTATATATATACGGCGTGAGCCAAGCATATCCAGCTTGGCTCACGTTTCGTCGATCTCCGCATAATGTCCTATTTCCATTTATTCCCTGTTACTCGTCGGTTTCCCGATTCTCTCCCGACGAACGCGTTCACCTTTAAGCGTGTCATTGGGGTGGATTTTCACGTCCGCGCTCGGTACACCGGAGGAACGTTTCATTCGGCAATGCCGGTCCCTTTCACTCATCCGGAAAGGTTTGCCTAGGAATTACAAGGGCTGTTGGCACGTACTATCTGCCAATCAATCCCGGGCTAGCAATCGGGCCGGGGATCCAGCACCATTGGGTCTTAGAAAAGCGTTCCGGGCTGCCCCCAGCAGCAGTAACCTTTTGAGTGGCAATCGTAAAGAGGAAGAAAGAATCATGAACGGCGAGAGGGCGGTACGAAGGGCGAGGAGAGGGCGGGAAGGAAACGATGCGCGAGCGAGGGACTGAGAGGAATTAGAAAGTGAAAAAGAAACGGGAATAACGGCGAGGGAGAATAAGAGGGAAAAGGAGGAAGAAATCGAGAAGGCGAAAAAAGAAATATGGGGGCTAGCCGACATAATGGAGTGCAGTGATTAAGTCGGTTCTATCATTCACGGGGACAATAAAGAAGTTCTGTAGCTCCCTGCAGCATTGACGAGCCAATCGGCCGACCGCGGTTTAGACGCAAAAAGAGAGAGGGGCAGAGAGAGAGAGAGAGAGAGAGAGAGAGAGAGAGAGAGAGAGAGAGAGAAAAAGAGAGAGAGAGACAGAGTCCTTGAAAGGATTCCCTCAACTCTTCATCTTTTCTCGCAAAGTGGATTGATCGAGCGTACTGCTTCGGGGGAATCCCATTAATGTTGTTGTCCTCGCGGACACGCGACGGAAAGATCGAAAATTTCTCTCATACACATCTTCTTCGCACGCCTACTTATGCTCGCCTTTTCCCGAGTCCACCCTATACAAGAGGTACAGTCGCGAGAGTAAGGGAATAGAGTCCTTGTTCAAGTTCAGGTGGAATAGATTGAAACAAAATTCGAAGCTCAGTTACGAAAGGATATCGAAACACTGAAGTTCTGACAAACGACGACTTCCACTTTGACAATTTTATTAGGGATGAGTAGAGAAAGAGAGAGAGAGAGAGAGAGAGAGAGAGAGAGAGAGAGAGAGAGAGAGAGAGAGAGAGAGAGAGAAAGTCTCACGAGGATCGGTGTCTTATCCGCCGCGAGCGGAACAGCCTGCGGAAGGAGGCACGGTCGAGAGAAGCTAGGAGAAACTCGCGCTCAAAAGGGACAAATTAATAATGCGAGTTTACGCCGCAGTTTGCACACGCGAGCGACAACGCGCGAACGCGCACGCAGATATCGTATCTCGAGTACTTGGAATATTGCAAGTGCAGTAGCGCGCTAACATTAGCGCGAAAATGACGATATCGATCAAACGCGGGATTCCTCGCCATCGCCGGCGTGTCTGATATAGTCTGATATCGACGTTGCGGCTTCTGTACATCGATCGAAACGCGCACACGAGCGCGTCGGGAATAACGGCTTTCTCGCTACGAGTCGGCCAAATGCATTTCCCACTCACGCGAGATTCGGCCCGACAAGTTCGGGTCTTAATGTGGCACGAGGTGCGAGATCGCGGAGCAGTCGCGCGCGAGAGCTTTGTGTGTGTGTGCGTGTGTTTGGGTGGGTTAATGTGGATGTAAGTGTGGGTGGGTTTCCGAGGAAGTAGATGCTCCAGCGTAGAATTCGGCGGGCCGTACATCAATCAATTTCACTACCATCGCGATCGGGACGTGTTGGAATTCCAGTTAAGGGCGACTTTCCGAGGTGGGACACGAGGAAGGAGAAGGATGGAAAGAGGGGGGAGGGAGGAAAAAGAGAGAAAGAGCGCGGGTTCGTTCCGTACGATTTCGATCTCGCAATTTTTCGTTAAGAGATAAGACGAGCCCGGGCGAAGGGAGGAAAGGGCGAAATCGAGAACGATATCCAATCGCGTAGTCACCCAAAGTCTCGGCCCGGCGCTTCTAAAAAGAACCCGATAGTCGGCGAACTTTCGAACAAGCTGTTCGAACCTCCATCTCTACCTCCATCGAGTATCTGCGCCGTATCTTCGACTTTCCTCGAGAGTACACTGACCGTAATCGCCGGACACAGCTGATCCCCCGACTGATTTTAATGGCTCGACGGCAGCCCATCTATCGCAGTTATCAAACTTTCCACCAATAATATTTACGCGCGGATCTTAAAGAAAGAAAGCG